TTTTGTTCTGTTTTTGTTTTGTTTTTATCAGACAAAGATCATTATTGTATTATCTGATCTTTGGTTAGCAGGTGGTAGAAGGTTTCCTGGAGCTGTAGAGTGTCTGAATTTCATGTGATGACCTATAACTGATTTTATGCACTGGACAGAAGGAAGAGGAAAGATATTTCATCTTGGCTACATAGAAAACTGTTCTGCTTCTCAGGAATTTAAGTCAATGGAAAGAAACAGATAAAGGGTGTCACAGAAGCATTTGGTAATTTGGTTTAGGAGGCACACATGCCACAATTCGCAGTGTCCAAGGAAAAGCTGGAAATCTCTCAGCAAACTGAATGGCACATAATATGAAAAATTGAGGGGTAAAGTTTCAAACTATGAGTTTAGGTGCAATGGGTTTTGCAAATCCAATAGACTTAAAAGCACTGAATTTCAAGAGCGTTTCACTGTTTTTTATTGTCCTATAAAAACATGGATGTTGTAAAAAAAAAGATATTGGTTATTTTACACAATAAGTCATTCATTAAAATCAAAGATTTTCAATGCCATGGATTATCCTGGGGAAATCACATATGGTTTTGTCCCAGAATATGTATTTGGAGACTATTGTAATAGATGCTTAATTTGTGATGAAGCAAATTATTTGGCACTGAAACGACAAAATAAGTTTACACACCATAAGCAAGCTAATACTCTATAAAACACAGTGCTACTAATTTAAGTGTCTTTTCAGGTATTCCATATTCCTTAGCAACCCCAGAAAAGTTCATCAGTATCTACAACTGTACAACCAACTCTGGTCTTCCAGGGCTTGAAGAATCTTAGACTGGGAACTGAGTCAATAAATGTATAACTAGGTTCACCAGAAGAATTGAAGAATCAGCCTTTTAGCCCAAATAATGACCAAGTGAAAATAGCATTTTTCTTTTACATAGAGCAAACAGCTACAGAAAAATTCTCAGATCTTCACAAAAGAGCCATATGTTCAAAAGTTAAAAGTTGCATTCTATGATTATGAAAGAAACGTTTATACTGCTTCTGCCAAATTATACATTACTGATTTTCTTTCCATTCATTGAAGTAATGAGAAAAGCTTAAAACAAAACAAAAATAATTAAATATGTATCAGTCACAGTGGAAATGAATTGGACTAGCTTTATACAAGTACATTTGTATCCAAGATTTATAAGGTACCACAACATATAAGGATACATAAAAGCAGAGTTTTTTTCACAAGTCCATTATGTTTGTAACAACTCTATGGTAAGTTATAATTAACCTCTAATATCAGAAGTAAGAATTTAGTTTAAAACATATATTAGGAAAAGCTAATCTTATTGACCTTGAGGTTTTATAAATGTTGCAAGAAAGCTCATTACCTTGCATAATGCTACTAGAAATGCTAAATTACAAAGTGGGAAAAAGAATGTGGTCTTAATCAAAATATGTAACCTTTAGATATGCTAAATTTAGCTCAAATAAAATCTGCAATAGGTTGCCTTGGAAAATGTTGCTATAGCTGCAAGGACACATTTCTGGCTATTGGTAGGGGAAAGGAAAGGTTTCCAATAGTATGTATGCAACAAGTTTATGTTGTGTGGATTTATACGGCCTTACCTTGAAGAGACCAGACTCCACATATTCATACCCCTGAGATGTTAAAATCATTGTTTGGTCTGATTAATCACTAGGGTTATTTAAAATGATAGCCTAGAATTCTAAAGTTTATTGAATGACGGTTAAATGGTTAAATTGTCTCAATGGAAACTGCTGAGGAAAACAGCATTAAACAATAAACACATAATTCCTCCCTTCAGACTGAAAGAACTACAAATGAACTTGCAGAAGTATTTAAATTGTATATTAATAAAGAGGTTTTCATTAATTTCCTTTCACATCACTGAGAAAATTAATATTTTAGTATATTAGATGTAATTTCAATTATGTGATTTAACTTTATGTAAAAATATCTGAGATTGCTAAATAGTTCCTGATCATTTGTCATATCCAAAAGCTCAAATCTTTACTCTTGTGTGTTATTTATGGAAGTCATTATTTCCTTCTGTGTGGTGTAACAGCACTCTCTTAACCAACAGGTGCAGAAAGACAGGATAGCATTCTTTCAAGCTATAATGATTTTTTTTTTCACTTAATTTTTGTTGTGCCTTGTCAATGCAGTGAATAAAATTAGCTACCTGAAAACATATTTTTGGTGCATGTGCAACTATCACTAGGTTTAGCTAGTCTGGCTCTCGTTATCTATAATTTTTTACTGTCGTCAGTCCTGGCACATCAAATACCCTTTGGGAGATACTGTACTGCTTTGAGTGCAGCTATCATCAATGGGCACTCAGTGAAGTCTAATAATAGTGGACAATTTTGAAGTTTGTTTAAATTACTTAGGTAGTTCAGTTACAAGATGATTTGTAGCAAAACCTATAATGACCATTTGGAGGTTGTCCCACAGAACTTTAATCCAGTTCCCACTGAATTAAACTATATTAATCCTCTTGAGAAATAATGATTTTTGGTGTAAGGTATTTTTTCTTAAGCTTTTTTGAGTAAATATTATGTAAAGAATCAAGAGAACCATTCAGAAAATTATTTTTGTTTATCAGACTAAAAAGATGTCTGCACAAACTTTACTGAATAGAAACAGCTGAATTACCTTTGCAAGAGCTACTTCTTTTGTCAATAAGAATTTCTTCTGTGTCATGATCCATTTCTTCTAAGTCCATCTCTGTGGTTTTCTCTGTTACAGATGGGTAATCAGATATCCCAGAGAACAGGGGCTTTTGCTCATCTTCAATGGAGGACACAAAAGATGATGACCCGCTTTTTTTCTCCTCAAAATGTTTCTTAATAGACTGATAGTACCTGGTGCTGTCTCCTGAGGGCTCAGGATCACCCTGATCATTCTCTTTGAAATAATCTGTGAAAAAGAAATTGTATACAAACATAAGCAATTCTTGAAAGTTTATTCTAGTTTATTGTGGTCTGAGGAGGGACATGATTCTTATATGAAAGAGGAAGTTCACTGTCTATTAGAAAAAAAAAATTGATTCTTCTATCAGAGGAGTTTTATATTTCTTTTGAAGTCCTGCAAGACACTTGTATGTATGTAGTAAAGATTCTTAGTCCATAAACCATAACTCATTTTGCAAAACTTCTTTGTATCAAAACAACAAAGGCTTTATCTGACACAATCCTCCTGTGTACTCTTTTTTTTTTTCAGTGAGAATGAAATTTGAGGAAGCCCTATATATTCCAAACTTTACAAAATATGAAACATTTAGTCCTGTCTTCCAATTTCTCTCATTATTGAGCATTTATTACAATATTAACAGGCTAACAGTAGGTTAGTACATTAGACTTGGTATCAGAAATACTTGTTTAAGTTATTCTCACATGAGAGAATATTTGTTGATTATTCGTTTCCCATAAAAGGCATTAATCAATTACCTCTAATTAATACTAGAGGTATTAATTAACCACTCATCCCCAAAATTTCTGGGCCCACCTAACCAGAGAGCATATTTCTCCATATTTATTACAGGATTGATGTGGTAGAGAGAAATAAAAGGAGGGAGTTCATAGTCTGACTTATGGGATCACCTCAAAACAACTTTGCAAGGTAGCCCAAATTCCTTAGCCTTTAGAGCTGGAATTCTCTGAACATCCAATCTTTTGAATAACAAAAGTAAACAACATTCTGTGATATATATGGTAGCAGTATACCAGTGAAGTTGAGAATGAATCTTTCATTAAACATGTTCAAGGTCTGTAGTGAGCAGGAGCAGATTTAGACCTCTAAAGAAATGGAAAGTAAGCCTAGATTAAAGAAGATATCTTTAAAAATATATTGTAAAAATCAAATAGGATTTAAACCCTAGAATAAAGAAGTATTGGTCTCTTTTCACCATAAACTTGAAGCTAATTTACAATTCAATATTTGGTTTTACCTATTTTTAACTGAAATGTCAAGATAATTTCAATTCTGCTATTTATTTAAAACACATTTTAGCAGGGTAGTCTCAACATCATATAAATACTGTAACTAGTTTGCATTAAGTTCCTGGGGAGACAGCATGATTTCCCATCTGCTTTGTGCTAATTACTAATCAACATAGTTCTGGAATATCTGTAGTCTTTATAGCCTGCAGCAGTGGCTAATCCAACATTCTGTATATTCGTTCCCTAGGTTTTTTCTCTGTTTTCTGGTCACTGTAAGAAAATGAAACTGTGGCTTCATCTAACTGCCTTTGTCTGCACATAAAAAGAACACAATATCTGTAAAGAGCACCCTTCAAGGGTCCAGAAATCTGTGAGTAGTGAAGCCAGGTAATGGTAAAGAAAATAAACCCAATAACAAAGCAAAATAAACCAAATTGCAAAGCAGGCCTTCTGTACCTGTACCCTCTAGAGACTCCAAGGGCAATTAACACAACCCCAACAGAGGTGACTTTAGTGGGCTTTTGTTAAGCAGGACTACTGGTTCTAAGTGACATTGGTGATGCTCAGTCACTGCAAAATTGTCAAATCAACTTCAAATGGATTGGCAGTTTAAAAGCTCTTGGGGGATGTTCAGACTCAAGGGCCATGTTCTCGGCAATTCCGTCTCCAAAACAGTACAAAAGCAAAAGCAAGCTTCATAAGAAAATTTTATTATAGATGTCTCCTATGGTATTTCTTGTGGGAATATATTGAAAACAGTCACGCTACAGTAAATTGTCTTAATTACTTAGTGTTTGACTGACTTCAACCTGTGAAAAAGACCTTCTAATGAAAGCTTGAAATTACCAATTTTTAGGGCAATTTTATATGTTCATGGGACTTTGTGCACTAATGGCAGCTGTAATGAGCACTCTGTGGAATACAAATCAAGCAGTGGACTAATTTTAAGATGGAGTCATTGAGACTCTAGTGAAAAATGTTTAGCAGCTGAAATACATCTGACTGTGTTCTCTCTTATATTCATAAAATACTAAAATATTTAGAAATATGAAGCCAGATTCTGCTAATAATTACTCCGCTGTAACATCAGTTAACATCAGGGTAATTCAGTTGACATCCCTCCATCTATATCAGAACAGAACACATTATTTTTCACATGCTGTCCAAGTATTATAAACTCACTGGTATGAAAAGGGAGGCAGAGATCTGTTGAATATAGGCTCCTGCCCCTTGAAATCAGAGACCATTTGTTCATCAGCTGATCTATTTCAAAATGGTCATCTTTGGCTTTACTGCCATTGCTTTATCTTCTAGGCATCTGGTTATACTCAGAGAGTCAAAAGTTGTTTTCCTTTTTAAAGGCTCCTATTTAATGCTAAAAATTGTTCTCTCTGGAGGATTGTCTTGTGACACTTTGCACCTAGGCTATGAATTAAAATAGAAACGGCTCTATTTTATTGACTCTTCAGGACCTGATAATGGTGCAATTCTGTACCTCTGCTCAACACCTTAGCAGTACCTCTGCAGCTTAGTGGAAAGTAAGTTACAAATAATAGATAGGCTGGGTTTTTTTCAGAATGTGAATTTCTCCAATTTCTCCTTCCTTTGGTAATGAAATTCAGTCATTGGTTTGCAATGGCTTTTCCAGAAATGAAGACTTATCTATGTATGGATACGTTCACTTTGTTTCACACAGAAAAGTGTTTTAAACATTTTATTTATCCCTTTCTGTTCTTCTTCCAAATGTAATCATTAAACCCCACCTTCCTCTCCTCTCCCGGCACCAGTTCTAGTGTTTTCTCTCTCCTTTTCCAGTAAAAAATGTTTCACTTTCTGATTCTGAAACAGCTAGAAACAGTTTTACTGAATGTGATTATTTTCATAACTTCCTGCTTTACCAAAAAATACAAACTTCATTTACATTCTTTATGGGACTGTTTTAGTGTGTTATGTATTCTGGGTGTTGGTCCTCTGACCTTTGCTGTCTGGAAATTCCAAAATCTTCAAAGTAATTATCAGAAAGTTTGTGTCCTGCTTTTCACACATACACGGGCAAAGGAAGGGAAAAAGCGGCGTTGTCACAAGTCTGGATCATAGAGCTATGACAGTGACTCACAGAAATACTGGCAATAAAGTCCTACTTCATGGGATGGTCACCAAATATCAGAAAGGTTTCTTTTGTGTGATATGATCTGCAGTACGGAAATTTTGCATTACTCAAGTAGTTCCAGTCTGCACGATCAACTGGAATTTGTCATCATTAATCAAGCTAGCTATGTAGCCTAGTGTTTCGGAAGGTAGCAAATTTTTACTCCCTTTTCAGCCATCCAATAAAAATAATCCCATAATATGCTGAGACAAATTCAATTTGTGCAGGAAATGAGGTGAATTACTTCCTCTCTCCCACAAGCAGCAATTTATATTCCAAACCATAATATAGACAATCCTCATAATTAACATAATCTGCACCACTACAAATCTGTGCAGCAGAAATGACATTTTCCATTTCCTTTGAAAGAACACATCATACTGTTTTACACTAAACCAAGTGCATACTTTGGTAAGGAGAAATGCACACTGTGACTTGGATGGAAGGATGGTTAGTGGCTCAGAAGGTCTGGAGATCTTCAGATTCTTAGCAAGTATTTTGGTTCAACTGTTACAAGCTCTTTCCTGTGTGATATTCACAAGTATTCCTGTGGTGATCATCTGTGTTTCTGTGTATGAACAAAGAATTTGCTATCCATCATGACTATCTGTTATCTGTTCTTTAATTTAAAAATGTCTGTTACCTTGTCAGAGAGCAGAAAAGTACCTTACGTGACTACCATGGGAAACAAATACTTTGAATGAAAAGTTACCAGATATTTCAGACAGTATGTTAAATACAATACCACAAACAGGATTGAAAGAGTACAAACTTTCAAAATGTTGAAAAATCAAAAGCTGTTAAAGAATAATTTGAACACTGGTATTCAAACCATACCTATGTTTTCCATCATATAGATGGAGAACAGCATACAACCAGTCAGGGAAAATGGTAATCCTAAATCCTGAAATCTCTGCTTTTCACTTAGTGGTGCAGGAACGTTATAAGCAATACAATTTATTTATCTAATATCAAAAGATACCGGTACTGTGGAGCAGGACCAATATATGACTCCACAGAAGTCTACTCAGAATGCCAGTCTGTGAGTTTAGGATCATTAAACTGCTAATTAAAATGCTCCCCAATTTTTTCTTGCTATTTGCTTCATACTTAGTTGAATGTGACTGGTCTGGAGTACATTGCTAGATATAGCTAAGTGCCTTCTTATAGACTGGCTAAAGGAAGAGTGTCAAAAAGGAGGAAGCTTGTACACAGGAAAATGAGCAGCAACCCAGTGTCTAGTCATTCAGTGGATAAGTATTGCTGTGGTGACATTTTTTTGCCATATTGTTCCTTTATCTAAGACTAAAAGAACAAAGTTAAATAGTTTTTATTCTTTTGTAAACAGTCTTATGATAAAAAATATGAGGAAATTTCAGGATTTATTTTCCACTGGGAAAAGGAAATGATCCCTGTAATTTTACAAATATATTACAAGTTATAGGTAAAATTCAGCACTTAATTTTGTATGCAGCTTTTGAAATGAGAGCTACTCTACCTTTGCTACCAGAAAGCTTGTCTGAAAACTGATATAGCTCTTGTCTGTAGAGATATTTAACCCTAATGTTTCAAGAAGTATTATAACTTACACTGAATCCACTTAAACAAACCTAAGAATGAGCCTTGAATTTTAGTGCTTGAGCTCTTGTCTAAGAATCAATTTGACCTTAGAGCTCTGACATATCCAGACATCTGGATGTCTGTCACAGCCTGTCTTAACTCCTGTTCTGACAAGGAGCGTGTTCCAGGAGAGGTCATCTTAAAGTCTTTTCTAGAAGACTAAAAACTTGAACAAAGCATTCTACCACTTTTTAGTTGAACAAAAATTT